TCCACCGTTATCCCATTTTCCTACTTTTATGGACCGCTCGTCGCGTGACCAGAAATTTTTTCCAAACCCAAACATGGTAAAAAAAATTTATCGCGTTCCGTGTATATACCCCGCCGCAAGAAAATTGCCTGAAACGAATCTAAAGTGGTGTTTGAAAAACCTTGATTTACACGTATCGAGAATACAAAGATCAGAAGAGGTTCGTCGAGGATTTGTCTGAGCTTTTTAAGCCGTAGAAGGATCGAAAAGGCGTGTGATTTTGTCGGAAGGGCCCCGGAAACTGCAGGTCGACGGAAGCTAAAGACGAGAGGTTCTCAAGCTAAGTAACCCTGGTTGCTATCCTCCACGGTAGATCTCAATTTGCCTTACTCTCGAATTATGGGAAAATTATGTACGTCGAGGGGATAGATGGATGATTCGTAACAGGAAGGCGTTCTCGATTAATTAGTAAGCGTGCTTTGAACTAATACCAGCAACCGGTGTACCGCGATCTTATACCCTATCTCGTAACAATCCCAGATTCCTAACAATTACGATTACGCTGCAACGGTAATTACCCGAAATCAATTCTAATTTACCGTCGGATCGTTGGCTCTTGCGGTGCAACCTTGTACCTTTCGGAACTAATGCCTCTACGCCGCTCGGTTCTCACTTTTGAACACGAAACTTTTGCCGGGAGATTTAAAATGCACGGGCTTAATGGGAATCGAGTGGGACAAAAGGGTAGGAAAAAGGAGATATTGAAAAATGGGGATGGAGCGATGTCGAAACGCGTGGGAACCTCTGCCGCTGGAGATGGAAGAAACAAGGGTGTATTTGGTCCACTCGGTCGGATCGATGAGAGGTCGCGCAAGGTGTCCTCTTGGCCATGTAGAGCATCGTAAGTCGAGGACGAACGCCCCGATAGCCTCTCGGGAAAAGAGCCACGAACAACAGCTTCCTTCGGATTCCAAACGGATTTTAACAGAGATCTATACGTATACTTTCTTCGAAATCACCGCTGGTTCTCTTTTCCTTTTATCGAGACGATGTTAATAACAACGACGTAAAATCGTTGAGAAGACAGACAGGCGATTTTAGGGACAAAGAGAAGATAATTTGCAAAATTCTATCGACGGATAAAAGCGTGGGAATATTTCATCGTTCGAACGGTATTATATACTTACTTGGACAAATACGTTTCGTAATCGAGGGGCGTGCCGACGCCATTACGTTTTCGCGAGCTGCAAGAAACTCGAGCCTGAATTCCTGGAGACGCGAGGCGACGCGGCACGGAGTTCATCGGCGATGCTATCGGGAATACATCGAATTCCCATTTTTCGTCTCCTCTTTCATTTTCGCGCTACATTCCGTCGTCGCGACGGAACCCGGGACCGGGACCGGGGGCAGAGGGTCGGAGGGTAAAAGGGGTCGAGGACGAGAGAAAAGCCAGCAGCGTCGCGTTTTATATTTGCCCCGGCGTTTCCCGCAATTTCCTCCACGGGTTTTCCAGAGTGGTGTTTAGCCGAGGAAATCGTAGCGAATCGGTGAGAGTAATTTACGGGGATGTCGAGTTAATAACGTAGCGGCTGAAACGATCGGGGATTAAAGAAACAAACGTGTCCGCGGATCGAACGGATGGCAGAGGATAAAGACACTTTGGCGAAAAGGATTCGGAATTGGATCGCGACAGAAAGTAGGCCTCGATACGGCTCTCTTCTTCCGCGGATCCGAGGATATCGAGGCGTCTCTCGAGCGTCTCCATCCGTTTATTCGATCCGAACGATTCGCGAGGATAAAGGACGTTGCGGGGAAATATTCCCCTCGCCGCGTATTTCGGTTAGGCTTTCGCCGCTATCCAATTTAGTCTAGGAATTTATCGGGCGAAGAAATTCTTCGGGGAAGGTTCGCGCGCGTCGCCACGATAAGAAATCAGAGGTTGTCACACTCGCGGAGTTACGTAGCTTCCATCGACTGCCACTTATCGGAACTCAGTCGCTGGTAAATTACGACTCTCCTCGATCGCTCTCGTCGTTTTCTTTTTACGAATCAATTTACAGGGATATCGAAGTTTGTCGTCGGGACCATTCTCCTCCTCAATGGTCCCTTTTCTCGCGCGCGTACGCATCGATCTCTCGATCATCGTTCGTTCCTTGGCCTTCTAATCGACGATACGAAATAGTTTAGTGGCCTCAGGCCAGGAAAGTTGCTGTGGGAGGTATTAATATTTTTAATCATCGTCCGCGGGTGGAGGGGGTAAGAATCACCGAGTAGGAACGGAGACTGTCGTAGGATCCTCGTTTCGTAAGCCGGAGCCAGTTTTAGCGCGTTAGAAGGAGCATCGTCAGAATTGCGGAGGAAAAAAGTGCCGATAGCAGATATTGGATTCGAAACGTCGAGCAGGCAATATCCTCGAGGCCTCCCTTTGCACACTCCTCCTGTTGGAAAACCTCGTTGAACGGGCATGCTGGAATAAAGCCATGAAAAAAAGTGGGGTTTGCATGCCGACGAACCGCATGCGCTCGATATTCCGATATCCTGATATCGGTTGATGCTATGCCGCGACGAGTGTTTCTTCTCCAGCCGACGCGACGCGACGCGACGTCTTCGACTTCGGGGCGCACACACGCCTACCCCACCCCCCGGTCTCTATGGAATTTATTATCCCGTTTCGATCTCCTCTGCCCCCTCCTTAGCTCGCTTTCAACTACTTCCACGGATACGCGTCTGCTTTTCCTCGTCAACCTCCAGACACTTTCCTTCCTCGTTCCGATGTTTCCACGCGTTTCCCCCCGTTATTCGATATTTCTAGGGCCCTGCGTTCCATCCGATCGCTGACTCGACTGCCGCCCAAGGCAACGGATATCTGTTTCAACTTTGCTTCTTATCGGTCGTTTACGTATAACTACGGTGTCCAAGTTTTCGACGCCTGGCGTGCAAAAAGTATGGGATCGTTGCCGTTTAATTTCCGGTTAAACGACGGACGAAGGTGGTCATCGGACCAAGACCCTTCGAAGGGTAAATTTCTCATTAGTTCCATCGGAGATTCCATTTGTATGGAAATACCGAAGATCGAAAGCATTCCCTAAAAGGATTAACTTCTCGTTTGTGCTATAACTTGTACCGCAACGATACAGATTTCTCCTCCTTTTTCCTTCTTTCCTGTTCCGCGCTCTCCCCATCTGTACCAGTTTCCAAGTCCCCCGGCTACAGACTTTCCTACTCTCGGCGAGCCTCCTCTCTCGCCCCGAAGCCATCTCGCCAACATTTCCCAACTTTTCCACCGCCCCCGATGCGGGTCAGATTTTTCCATAAAACGCGCCAAGAGAAAACCGGGGGATTCCGTCCCCTCTCCTCCCCTCCCGCGCGAATATACGATCCCAGTTTCGCAACAAAAAGTGATTCGTTGCGTCTCGTCTCGTCTTTCTTTCCGTTTCGGGGGATTCGATCGGCAAAAGATCCTCCCTCCGAGGTTTCGAGCTATTTTACGCGACACGGACCGTGCATCTCACGGAAGTTGGCGTCGCGCGATACCGAAACGATAAAGAAAGAGATCGATTTGCTTCCGGGGCTAATAAAACATTTAGCGGGGGAAACGGAACGCAGATGTATCGATGGAATCCTTGCGAGGGGCGACAATAGCCTCGACGAGCACACTCTCGCGAGACGAATCGATTACAACGGCCGTTCCGCGCGAACTTTACGAGGCTCGTTTGCGCCGCGACACGGCCTCCTTAGGCGAGCCGTGTTTTCGATGCCTTGGAATTAATGGACGGCGCCAGCCGCCGATGTATTTTCGTAAGTGTAGCGCGCGTGTGCGTCGACGTGCCTCGGTTTAACGTCGAGCCGGTGATGCACCGATTAGTATGCGCCCCGATGCTTCGTTCAAAATGTATCGCGTGATCGGACGATTAATTATTAATCCGCAGTACGTCAATTCAGGTACAGTATCAACGCTACGCCGGCCCGCAGAAACGTCAACGATGCTTGTTTTACGATCGTTCTGACCGGAGAATTTCTAACTAACTGTGCGTGCTTCGACGACGATCGATGTTTTACCGGTTTTATCACTCGTTCGTCGGATAATATATACGACTATTAATCGACGACGCGTTCGTTTCGACGCGTGGCCGAATAGTTTAATCAGACCACCCGAGAACGGGTGTTTTTTTTTACCGAAACTTGTACTCGAGGACTCGCGGATGGCTTTAAAACAGCGAACAGTCGTTTCGGTGGATAAGCAGGTCGCCCGTAATTTGCAAGCTCGATAAACTTATAATGGAATCTTTTGACCTGTTTTCGAGGCTTCTGTCTCTGGCCATGAATTTTGCACGACGATGAACGTGCTAACTCCATCGCTGCAGAGAGCGGTATACGTGTACGCGCTTCAAGAATATGCACGCTCATTTGCGAGGAGCATGTGCATACAGAGCGTGATGCCTAAAAGGGAACGGCGCTGGTTACGAAGGCACGAAAATTTTGCCAAGGATAAAGTCGCGTATCGTTCAAAGGACGCGAGACGTACGCCTCGGCCGGGGGAAAGCTCGTATTTTTTAATTATTTCTAAGCGGAAGCGACCGGTGAAACATCGTTGCGAACTCGATTCGACGCGTTTCACCGACAACTTTATCCTAGATCGGTGTTGTATTTTAAGGTATGATTCCACTGAGGCAACACTATGCGACCTGTAGCATGCTACTTGTAATTAACTGACGACATTGCTCGACATGTTCAATCTTGTCGATTCGACGAAACAATATCAAATAATCCCGCATTTCTTTATTGCGGAAAGGAAACAAATGAATGTGTAGCAAATACACATGTCAAGTCATTGCGTCATTGCCGCATGCTACATGTTGCCTGAGCGGAATCACGCCTTTACGACGAAACGCAATATAGGAGCTAAAGAAGTTTTGTTGTTTCAGGGTGGGAATCGACGATCGAGCGCCTCGGCTTGATGACCTCGCTAGAATTCATTCGGAGAGCGAACGAGTGGGAAGAACGTCGGCGTAGAAATCGAACCGGACGGAGTCGGGAAGTTGAAGATGCGATAGAGAGAAGGGGCGAAGGTAACGGCGAGAGCTCGAGAACGAGTCACCATGTGCCCGAGCCGGCGGGCCTGGTGGTGGAGAGGGGCGGTTCTCGGGACGATGATGCTGTTAACCTGGAGCTCGACGGTGGAGAGCTGTCCGTCTCTGTGCACGTGCAAATGGAAGAACGGGAAAGAATGGGTAGAGTGCGCGAACCGTAACCTAAAAGGTCTCCCGCAGGGCGCCCGGGAGGAGACGCAGGTGTTGGATCTGTCGAGCAATCATCTGGTCAGTCTGCCGCCGGAATGCTTTCACGCTCTCGGCCTGATAAATTTGCAGCGACTCTACCTGGCCAGATCGCAGATCAGCCGTATAGCGTCGAGGGCGTTCGTGGGCCTGGTGGGCCTGGTGGAGCTGGACCTTTCCGAGAACCTGATCGAACAGGTACCGACCGACACCTTCCCCTTCTACTCGAATCTGATGAAGCTGCTGTTGAACGGAAACCCTATACGAGAGATACGCCGCGGGGCGTTTCAACATCTGGTGCACCTGACGAACCTGGACATGAGCCAATGCCGACTGGAGACCATCGAGCAGGGCGCGTTCGAAGGCCTCCAGCAGCTCGAGTGGCTTCGATTGGACGGGAACCGGTTGACCCGCGTGCCCGACCGGACGCTGCCTCTAGGCGGCAGCCTTCGCGGTACCACTTTGCACAACAATCCCTGGCTGTGCGACTGTCGTCTAAGGCCCACGCAGGCCTGGCTCAAGGAATCCGCCCCGACCGTGCCCCAGGAGTCCGAGCCCGTGTGCGACGCGCCTCCGAAGCACCGCGGGAAGCAGATCAAGACCATGAACACGAACGAGCTGGCTTGCCTGCCGCAGATCGAACTGCAGGACCGACTGGAGGCCTACGAGGGGGACAACGTCACACTGAGATGCGACGTTTACGCCGTTCCGGCCGCCAAGCTGATTTGGTGGTTCAACGGGGAGCCGTGCGAGTCCCAGAACGAGAATAATTCGCTTCTGATCGCATCCAGCAGCTGCCCCCGGTGAGTACCTCTACCCTACACGACTCCGACAACATCTCAACATTTACAGCATTCGAGAATCCTCCGCATCCTAAACTAACTTTTAATATTTATTCCTCGTTCGCGAATAAAAATCGACCGTACCCCCCCAAGTCCACGTCAAATATTTTCGTGACCCCGAGGCGCTCCTTTGCTTACCCTCTGCCTTCCTCGTTCTTGATTTTTCGTATTTGTCGGTCAACGGTCGGGAGCACGAGACACGCCCGCGAAATTCAATTTCGGGTCACCGATGGAAATTTCTATTTTTATATCTTTTCCTATTGCCAACGATTTCCTCGAGTTCGTGGAGCTCGAACGCAGCGCGGGAGAAGTATATTTTTAATTGCGCGTCTAATGGATTCTCTTTAGTATCGTTTCGTTACGCGAATCGTCGCCGATATCAAAATTTTCCCCGGAGAAAAAGCAATTCCTGGTATTTTTCGCCAAACCATCGACAGAGCGAAGCGGTGATACAAATAGCTGCGTACACGGTCGTTTCGAATCGAAATAAACTTCCAATAACATTTGAATTTCTACCGTGGATAGAGTTCTCGTTGTTTTAACGGCAACCTGCTGGTCGGGTCTCGTGTTTCGGGCAATTTCGAAGGAAAATCAGCTCGCGTCGTTGAAAACTTACGCGACGAAGAAAAGCCTCGCGCGCTGCTCCGCTGGTCGTTTATCACGAAATTACCGGTATGCTAATTACCGACGTTTGCATCGCGACCGTCGGACGATTTCTAACGACGTCTCTGTGTAAAAATTCCAAAGGTTTTGTCGCTAGAATTTTTTAGCGACCGTTAGAACCGCCAGCCCGGCCGTGCTTTTTCACCGAAGCTTTAACGAAACTTCTGCCTCGTTAATAATACAAGCCGGGCCCGTGCTACGCGCTCGAATACAGAGTCGAACGTCGTTAAAATGTTATTCCCGTTACAATATCAACGCAGCGACGGCGGGGAATCGTCGATCCGGGAACGCGGAGTCGCGTTATTTTTGTCGCGGCGCGCCGCGAGCAAACCTTTAACCGAATTCGCTGTGAATTAAACGTTCCGCGTCGCGGGAATTTCGCAGCCTGAACCGCTCCTAATGAATTACACCGTTCGAAGGAAATCGTCGACTATTTTCCAACCGTACGATTCTCGCGAGGCCATCGTCGGGTGAAATTTTCATAGAGATAGAACAGCGAATCGAAGCAAAATATCGACGGTGTGGTGAAATCTGTTACAGGTTCGTGTACAAGCAACGAGGGGACACCAACATGAGCAGCACTCTGTTGATCTACTCGGTGGAGTCGCCGAACGAGGGCACGTACACGTGCATAGCGGAGAACGGAGCAGGATCGGCCGAGTCGAATCTGTCATTGAGAGTGCTCGTGCAAGAGAAAGTGACCGCCGAGCCACCGAACGATCGTTCCAGATCGGGTTACGTGGCGGCTGTAGCAGCCGGAGCTTTGGTCTTCACGCTGTTCGCCCTCGGTTCCCTGATCGCCAGCGTGGTGTTTTGCGTACGCAGACGTCGCCGTGACCGAAAGAGGAACTCGAAAGCTCTGGTGTCGCAGAACAAGTCCGTGATGCCGATCACGAAAGACACCGCGACCAGTATACCCTGTCGAAAGGGTAATGGGAGCTTGTTGGGGCTGGAGCACCAGCAGATAGTCTCGTACACCGAGAGGGAGATGAGCAGAGCCGCGACATTGGAGCACAGGGAGCACAGAACAATGGACGAGCCTTACTGCAGCCCGGTGTCCAAGTATCTGACGGAACCGGACCTGATAAACGAGGTCCCGGAGACGACGGACGTGGGCTACGGTCAGCTGTACCGTCACCAACCCGGCGACAGACAAATCCTAGAATACGACTCGGGGTATCCGCTGCAGCCCGACCTGCGTCCGTCGAACATACCGCAGCTCAGCTATCTCGATCAGGACGGCTACCCCTTGAACTTTGGTCTACCGAAACTACCCTTCAGCGCGGCGAGCACCCTGCCGCGTCTGAGGCAACGAATGGCGGAGGGATCGGCGGTCGCGCCGCCCGCCAGATACTCCAGGGAAGCGGAGTTCCTCGCCAGATCGCCGGGATACGACCCGGTGTTGCCCAGAACCGACGCCAGGTACACCGCCGAGGGATACCCTTATCCAGCTCAACAACAGCCGCAGATACAACCGGTGGAGCAGCCTCTCCAGCAGCAGCTGCCCGTTTCCCCGGTCTCCCCGGTTCCCGTCTACCCCGAGGTGCCCTTCATCCCTTCGCCCCCCGCCGCGTACAGGGGCGAGACGACGCCGCTATCCCCCAGATCGTTGCTGAGCAAAACGGCACGCGAGGCTGCCGCCGCCGCCGCGGCCAGGGCGGAGGAGCTACAACCACCCCATCATCCGGAGAGTCCCGACGAGGGCTACGTCGGCGACGCGATGGACGTGTAAACGACCATTTTAATCACAACCAACGAATACCACGCGACCAAACGACACGGAATCCTCGACGTTTGTGCGAATCCTCGAGTGTTTTTTCGTTTCGTATTTCGGAGAGACGATCGTCGCGATCCGGTCGCGAGCGTGTCCGAGACGAGGGTAGATTTGTCGGGTGGAATTAATCCTGGGAAAACAAGCCGCGGTGGATGATTGGCGGAACAAGAACCTCGGGACAGACGGAGGACGTCGTCGTCGGGATCCGGCGGAATGGATGTCAGACGTCGTACGACCAAAGTGCCGTTTGAGCAGGAACAAAAGGAGCCGACCCAGTAGTCGGGAACCGTAATGGATTAATCAGGTGCAAGGCTTTCCGGAAGCCCCGAATCGCGTGTCTACGGATAATAATTTCTTGTCAGAGCCAGGCCGGCGTGTCCATGGTCCGACAGCAGCCCTCGCTAATCGAATCTCCCGTCTTCAGGCTCGACTTTGGATAAAACTCGTTCGGGAAACGCACGGAAATTCCGAAAACTCGAAACCGCGAGACGGTTCTAAAAACGAGTCCCTCTGCCGGAGAGGGATTTTCGGGAAGCTTCCGGAACGCCTTGGCGCGTTTCTCTTTCTTTCTCTTCCTCTCTCTATCTCTGTTTCACTGGTTCCCTCTGTCGGTTCGCCCGACAATGGAATCTCTCGAAGCGAGGAATACGTTAACGGTGGGCCGGATAGAGGAATCGAATTTTCCAAGAGCTTACGAAAGCCGCCAAACGCAAACAACTAGCCACGGGCGGAAGAGAAATTCGGAAAAATGTTTGGAGAGCCGTTAGCCGCGGCTCGATCGAAGCCGATTCGTCCACGACCCGGGAACACAGGAATCGATGCCTTTGCGCTCGTATTAGTTTAATCCTGCGACTCGGTCGGTCGTGCAAAGATATCCGAGACTTGGTTTATATTCGATTCGATCCGATATCGTAATTTCTATGCCGCGTCGCGCGGTGAAATATTAAATTTAACTAGAGAACGGTACGTAACATTGGCTAATTAACCGTTTCGAGAGAACGATGCCAGAGAAAACTCGTTGTCCGGTAGACCGCGTAACGCGTTCCACGCGAGAACAAATATTTTTTAAAAAGTAGTACATCCTGTTGTTATGGTCAGATGCGTGTACGTTGCGCGAAGGAATGGAATAAAACGTCGGTTCCAGCGACCGAGAGCAGTTTTACGAGCGCAAAGCTCGGAAAAAGAAGACAACGAAAGGGCGCGGAGGAAGATCGAGGAAGGAAGAAGCCAGGATTCGTAACCGTTTACCGGATATCTGCTCAAGCAAACACGCAACCCCTGACCCCAAACCCGTCTCTCACCTCCACTCGTTCCCCCCCCGATTACTCCAGTTTTTAGAATAACCAATTATATCGTTATTAAAGTTTACTGCTCGTCGGTTTCAGGAGAAACGAACTCTCTATCGTGTCTGGAAAGTTCCGACGGAAGGTTAAAGCAGTTCCGCCGCTGCGATAATAACGTTAACTGGGGTGTTTAAGACTGGTGAACTGTGCGAGATTACGAGCCAGCTAGGGTGGTACTTAACCTGATGTACAGAATTGTTAAATATACATACACGCGCGCGCGCGCGCGCTCATTCGCGTGCATGCACACACAAACACAAACACAAACACACAGACACGGACAAAAATATATATAAACTCGGAGAAACAGACACGAGAGTGGTATATACGTATACACTGATATAAATACGCGAATACGAGGACCGATCGGAACACTCGAAAACGGTGAAAGTAGATATTTTTTAAGGGTGTCTTCGAGCCTACGACGCGCGATCAAACGATGTAATCCATTGTCGAGTGTGCATAATCATCGTGTAACAGAGTTTTAAGCGTTCGATGGCGTGGCCAGGTGCGCCGCGAGACCCGGAAGTAAAGTCTTCTTAGAGGGACCATCTTGAAGAGCAATCTTTCTCGACGCGTTCTACATTCCGAAACGTATCGAAAAATATCGCCGCGGCCCTCTGATCCGTAACCATCGATCGTTGGACCTTCGCCTCGACCGATAGAAGTGGCCAGGGCGTCTGCACGGAATGAACTCTTCAAAGTTCTCCAATCGCGCCGGGCCGTGTCTCGCGTGGCATCCTGCGCGCATGTCGGTCAACCGTGCAAACCGATTTACGTATGTAGCGTAGCTATTAAATAGATCGATCGGATATTTAGGGCCTCGGTGGCTCAGGTTTTTACCATTGACACTGTTGGAAAACGTCAGAAACGACGGTTCCGCGAGTGTCAACCGTAGAAACGGCTCGATCGCTCTTTGGTCGCGAACGAGCGTTCTTCTCCACCGCGAAAGGGTGCTTCCGCGCGCGATAACGTAACGTAACACGTAATAAAAGAGCCGTTAATCTAGCGTTAGGGTAACGAGTCACGGTAAGTGGACAGAAACCTCGAATACGGTAGACGGACGCAGCCCCGATAAGGCCGAAACATGGTAGAAGGAAGCTGCTGGAGGAGGAAGAATTTACGACACGCGGCTGCTGGATGGTCTCCTTTTCGACGTCGCAATCACCACACCCCGATCGCGGTGTTTGCCTTACAGTCTGCCGGGAACGGAAGCTAAACGGTGTCCATTAGAGATTCTTCAGGCTCGACCGGAGTCTCGGTCGCGATTCCCAGAGACCGTCGTGAAAACTGACGGGCTTTCGAGGCGGGTTTCCAGCGGCGTTATCGCCTCGACGCGACGGCTATCAACGTCGAGACCGCTTTACCCGGTGAAATCGGCCTCTTCGCCTCTTTCCGTTCACCAGACAGCGAATCGCGCAACCCTTCAGGATTTCTCATTCGACGCGTTGATACGCGTAAACCGCTGATATCCGAACTTCCCTTTTCGACCAACAGAAAATCACGATGAAAAGTATTCGTTTATATTCGACAGCGAGGAATTTGAAACGAGTTTTCCGTAAATCTCTTTCTACAACGTGTTGAAACTAGCAAATGGCCTAAACGAAAAGCCCATCGTGGATTACAGGCTACCAGCGACCTCGAACGATCAATTAATCTCCCCCCGATCACAGTGGACTCGAACGAAGCGATGAACGCGCCGCAAATACACCGAAACGTCAAATTTAATACTGTAATTTTTAGTACAATGACGTGGATCTACTCTTAGTTCTACACGAGAGGCATACGATCGCGCGAACTCTGGACGATGGTTTCCGAACGAAAGCACCGCTCGTAGGATCCGTCGAAAGTGCAATTTTTGCATCGATCGTCTCGCGACAAGACTCCCAACATTTTTATCCGTCGAATCGCGTATTTTTTGTTCCGTGAAGTCGTTCTTCGCGCATCTGTCGATAGCGGTGGGATCAGTGTCCACCGCAATGGAATTACGCGGTTTGCTGTACAGCTGTCCACTCGACAACGTTCGCGATAGCACAATTACTCGCATTGATTCGCGGTGTACGTTCGACGGAGGATCGTTCGCGATTTTACGTAAACATCCGGGGTAAAATCGAGGACGTTCCAAGAAGTTGTTCCTTCGAAAGCCCGCTCGCTGCACCGATCCCGAACGGAATCTATTTGTCGGGTTTCCAGCGTGCGTGAGAAACACGGAAACATGGAAACGCTTGGTACGAGGTGAAACGAGTTACTCGGAAATTCGTAACAGCGTAGACGCGGGCAGGGAACGCGCGAGACTTTGCTACGAATTTCCCGAATTCGACGGAATCCCCGGTGGAATTGCTAGCCGGGAGTTTCGATTCGGGCGCGCATGCTACGAAATCGCATCGACGGGGAAACCTTTCTTCCCGGCTGTCGGCGAGTAACGAGCCGCGGGAAACGCTTCGGTGAACGCGTCGACGCACTGAAAGGGCTTGTTTTCGCGGGCACAACGGGGATAATCACTATTTGCAGGACAACGGTACGCGTCCGCGTGACAGGAATCGAGCTGTCTCTTTGAGAGCTAGTCGACAGCGTTCGTGGCTGGAAAAACTCGTCGATTGTTGCCGTACAAACGACCATCGAAATCGTTGTCCGACCTTTTTTCGATTCCGTTCGACGGGGATGCTTTTCGACGATCTTTGACGCGACTACTCATTTTCCAAACTTACGCTTCTTCCGTCACGAGACGTCACCCTCTAATCGATCTGGAAAACGTTGTAATATATCGCGGGGCTATCGAACCGGTTGCAGCAAGTCGGGGAACAATTTGCATACGTAATCGCCTCGCGTTGAGACATCCCGAGTAAGAGTTACATTATCGCCCCATAGTAGCAGAACTACCACCTCCCGATAAAACCTACATCTTCTCGTGATCGAACTAGGCCACCACCATACGACGAAGCCTATAGTATTACCTTATAATAGGATTTACTGCATGATTAAAGGATAATCCACGGTATCGTTCTATACTAAAGTCTTCAATATCATCTTACGATAAGTCCCGGGACATTACCCCGTTGTAACGTCTACAATAGTGTCTGGGACAGGACGGAGGATTAATCCGTGTTTTATCGAGGCGCGGTAATAGGAAGGTTTAAACGGACCCTTCGCTTTCGCGTAATAACGCAACTTTTAACGCGTAGACGCGCCCGAAGAAACGAGATTCGCGTGTTTTAAACTCCCCCGGTCGCGAAAATAATGATCCAATTAACAGGTAAACATGTGGGAAGGCCGGGGAAAAATAATGCGCGGCAACTTTCGGATTCCGCTCGAAAAATCCACTTATTTATTAACGAGACCTCCTGATTATCTCGACACTCAACGCGCCGGATAACGAACGACGACAAGCAGGAAGCACGTTTCCATATATTATTCGCGCGGTGTCGCGCGGGTCAAATTCGCCACTCGATGATATTCATTATTTTTAACAATGCACTTTTCACGCCGGTCAGAACTTTAATGCGTCCGTACCGGCGACAAAGGATTCCGGCACCGATTAACGATAAGTTATGAACGCGGCCACGTACCCTGATAATTATTAGCGGGCTATAAGCGATGGTTATTGCCGCCGGAGGA